CTGCGCGCGACAAATTTGGTGTGAACAAGTGCTTTACAAGGATGGGGTTTGTCTTCGTCATTGGTGGTGATGGAAAGCGTCACCGTATCAGCTCCCTTAGTGAGTTGAACAAAATCCCACTTCAGTTACGGTGACACCGGAATCGCCGAAGCCTGTTGGGCAAACATCCAGCTGTACCAGCTCTCAAACGGTAAATATAGTCCCAGCTCCAAGTACAGCGAGGCCTGAATCACCGAAGCCTGTTGCCCAAATCTCCACCAGGGGCAAGCGTACGGTTACTGCATCGGTTAAAAAGTAGCTGTTTATGTGAATGTTTATGTGATTTAATTGTGTTATCGTGCGTGCGCGCCGCTTTTGTTCCGTATTCCTTTTACACTTTTGTATTCGTTCTGTGGATCTTCTTATTATATTGTGTCATTTCACTTCAATTTCCATTTATTAAAACATATTATTTTCCATTCGATCAGTCTCATAAATTGAAGGTAATTTGAATTAAATTACTAACTTGTAAACTTTTGAGTTTTGTGACACACTGACTGACTTTGACATATCGTATCACCTATTCCCACGTCAAAATTATTTAAAAAAATCATAACTGATAGGCATAAGTATTAATGTTCATACAGCCACATTATACATTTTTTTTTTTTTTCTTATTTATTTTTTGTTCTTCCTATTAGGATTAGATCCACAGAATTAAAATTTGCCTGAAATTTAATTAATATTATAATAGTTATTTTTTTTTAAATGTTATTTTGTATTTTGGTTCCATAGTTAACTTCATTTAGCGTGCTATGTTATCCACTCAACCGGCAGGTGGAGCATATTAAGTATTTAGTGCTTATTTTGTTCCAACTGTTACTTATTATTTTATTTTATTTTTATTATCTATTTATTATTATATATAGTATTTATATTGTGTATGTCTAGTTCAGATAAAGATAGTATTGACTACTTTCAGACCTTGTCAACAGTGAGCGACTGCACTGATGCTAGTTTTGCTAGTATGCCTTCCCTTTCTGACTGCATCGATGGTGAATTTTCTGATGTTCCTAAAAACTTTAACGTTGTTCACATTAATGCGCAAAGTATTCCGGCTCATTTTACTGATATGCTAGCGTCTTTCAACCACAAAAACCTTCATGCTGTTTTAGTCTCCGAAACCTGGCTTAAACCTTCTCTGCCCTCTTCATCCTATACTTTACCTGGTTTCCATTTGATACGTAATGACCGCACTGGCTCTCGAGGTGGTGGAGTTGCTATTTACTTACGTACTCATATTCCCTTTACTATAATTAGCTCCTCCATACAACCTCCTCCAGCGAATGCTGGCGAACATCTACTTGTCGAGGTTCTCCTGTCTCATACCAAAGTCCTTCTCGGAGTCTATTACAGCCCCTCTTTAAATGTTAACTTCTTCAGTTCTTTTGAACAGCTCTTAGGAGATGTTGTCCCATCTTACAGCCATTCAATAATAATGGGTGATTTTAATACCTGTCTTCTGAAAAATGATTCTCGTTCCGCTTCCCTTAATTCTGTTATTAGCTCTTGTAATCTTCATATTCTCCCTCTAAGTGCCACCCATTATTTCCCAAACTCTTCTCCTTCACTTCTTGACTTAATTATAGTCTCCTCTCCTCATCTTGTCATGAAGCATGGTCAATGTTCGGCAGATGCCTTTTCATACCATGACTTAATTTTCTTGTCCTACAAAATTCGTCCTCCCAAAATTAAACCCAAAGTCATTCTTCAGCGTAATTTCGGTGGTATGGATAGGGAAGCGTTTCTTATTGACGCTCTAAATACAGACTGGTCGCCGGTAACTGATGCAGAGTCTGTGGACGAGCAAGTTGAGACGTTTAATTATATTATTACCCAGCTTTATGACAAACACGCTCCTTTTCGTCTCATCAAGCTGAAACATGTTCCTGCGCCATGGCTCACCCAAGACATTAAAGCCCTTATGCACAAAAAGGATATTGCTAAATGCAAATACAAACGCCGTCCAACAGATGCAAACAAAGTTAACTACGTTAGAGCTCGTAATCACTGCAATTTGGTGTGTAGGGATGCCTTACGTCGCCACATTCATGTTTCCGTCGATAATAAAGATCCAGCAAAAGTCTGGAATTTTCTCAGGTCTCTTGGAATTGGTAAGCCCCGACATGAGTCTATTCCTAGTAGCATTAACGTTGATTCACTCAACCTTCATTTCTCCTCCTCTTCTAGTCTCAGTGATTATAACAAGACTAATACTTTAAATTTTCTTTCTTCGATACCAGTTCCTGACTACTCTCCTTTTGTCTTTACTCAATTCACTGAATGTGACGTTAAGAAAGGTATGCTTTCTATCTCCTCCAACGCAGTGGGGAACGATGGCATCAGTCGCAACATGTTAATACCAATCCTAGATATCATTCTTCCTGTCCTTACTTTCCTATTTAACAGCTCAATTTGCAATGCCGTCTTTCCGTCAGTTTGGAAGCAAGCACAAATTATCCCACTACCTAAAATATCGAGCCCTCAATCCATTACTGATTTCCGCCCCATCTCTATCCTACCCTTCCTATCTAAGGTCCTTGAACGCCTCGTCCACAACCAATTTAATATGTTCCTATCTCGCCACAACCTCTTTAATCCTTTCCAATCTGGTTTCCGTCCCGGCCACAGTACTACGACTACCTTGCTCAAAGTGACAGATGACATACGCCTTGGGATGGATAATGGTCTCCTCACGGTATTAACATTGTTGGACTTCAGCAATGCTTTTAACACCGTCAATTTTGACGTTCTTTTGGCATTGCTGCGCTCACTTAACGTATCTCCATTAGTGATTGAGTGGTTTCACAGTTATCTGTATGGGCGCAGGCAGCGCGTTTGCCTTGAGGATACATTTTCTTCTTGGAGCGACGCGACTGCTGGCGTTCCGCAAGGCGGCGTCTTATCTCCTCTTCTTTTCGCTGTTTTAATCAACTCCGTTTCAAATAATATCTCTTCGTCCTACCACCTATATGCAGATGACCTCCAAATCTATCGCCAAGCATCACTTGTTCAACTTGGAGATGCGGTGCGAGCCACTAATTGCGATCTACATACCATATCGGAATGGAGCAAATCTTTTGGATTGCAATTGAATCCTTCTAAAACTACTAGCATAATAGTAGGTAGTTCTAGAATGATAGATAGAGTAGAATGGCAGTCCCTACCCAATATCCAACTGGCTGGTAATAATGTTCCTTTTAGCGTGTCTGTAAAAAACTTGGGGTTAACTTTCGACACTTGTTTGAGCTGGGGTCCGCAGATGCAAGTGGTCAGCCGCAAATTGTTTGCTTCAGCAGCTTCGCTTAGGAGACTACGTAATTTCCTACCCATCACCACCAAAATTACCTTAGCGCAGTCGTTGTTGCTTCCCATTCTTGATTATGCTGACGTCTGCTATCTTGATCTCACGGAGGACCAGCTAAATAAGCTTGAGCGACTTTAAAACTTTTGCATCCGCTTCATATTTGGCTTGCGCAAATATGATCATGTTTCTCAATTTCGTTCGCAACTCAAGTGGCTACCTATTCGTCTTCGCCGGAATGCTCATATTCTCACTCTTCTTTACAACATATTGTTTAATCCTAAGACCCCGCGCTATCTTAAGGAATGTTTTAATTTCCTTCACACTTCTAACACGTTATCTCTTAGGTCATCAGAAAATCTTACTCTCATGACTCCTGTACACGGTACAACATTTTATAGCCGTTCGTTTGCAGTACGAGCCGTACACCTGTGGAATTCTCTCCCAGTTACCATACGACGTGCAGAATCTATTCACGCTTTTAACAACCTTGTAAAGTCCCATTATCTGTCCATATAGAACTTTTGGTTTTAATCTTATTTGTGACTACTACTGAACTAGATTTGTTTATTTATATGTATGTATGTATTTATTTAATATATATTTATATTTATGTATGTATATGAATGTATATATTATTACCTATATCACTCAAATGATTTACGCCGCCATCTCTCCCACTTCCTTCTAGTCCTCTCCATCCAAAGGTTGTCTGGAAGAGATCGCTCTCAGCGATAAGGCCGCCCATTGTTACACTTGTTTTTAAATAGTTATGTACTAAATGTTATGTTATCTGTGGTGTACAATAAAGTGTTTTGTATTGTATTGTATTGTATTGTATATTAGGTTGGAGAAAAAGTTTCTTCACATTTTAAATGAAAAAAAAAAACTATTAATACTTATATGCAATCTGTCTTGTTTACACGGAATGTATTTATGTATTATTGATTTTTCATTTACGAAAGTCCCGTCGCGAGAATGTCGTTACGATTTTTCAATTTACGTAATTCGCGAACGTGATTTTTACGTAGTACATTTAACTTTGATTGTTGGGGAGAAAAAATCTGACTCGTGAATGGTAGATTTCTTTTATTTTGCCTTATAAAATGAAGAATTTATTGACACAATTTCGTTGTTTAATTACTGAATGTATTTTTTCCAAAATAATCACTTTTGCGACAGATCTTATGTAAATCAACGTAAATTCGGCAGCTGTGAGCCACGAAACATAGTGTGAATCTAAAAAAAACAAACAATACAAAATACCGAAAATGAGAAAATAAATTTACCGAACCTTGTTGAGGGCGCGCCAACGTTTTACATTGTCCTTCAACTAACTAGGTATTCCAAAATTATAAGGGCCAACTTTAAGATCACCCTCAGGTATTATTAATCTGAGCAACGATTATCGCGGTAAACCAGAGATGCGTGACAAGAAAAGCACTTCTAATAATCACCTGCTATTATCCAAGTAATTGATCACGTAGAAATCATTACTCATCCGTTTTCACAAATAATGAAGCGCTCCTTTTGTTAATTAATGATATTAATGTATCTAGACCAGGAGCGATCTCTGTTGGTACAATCAACGGGATATTTGGTTTATCACCCTTGTGAACCGCTTACGAGAAATGGCGCCGGTTCAGTCTAATTTCGACATTGGTGCGCGCAACATCTCAGCGGGAAAATGACCGCCTCTTTAGTGCCGCGCTTCTAAAATAAAAGACGATCGAGCTTTTGAAAAAGTTTTTCGTACTTATGAATTCGATGGAAAGTGAGTGCGGTGGAATTTAAAAAGTGATTTATTGATTCCGGATTTGGGGAAAGTTGCGGAGGTTTCACTTTGGTGAGCGAACTTTTCCATTTTTAAATTGTGTGTTTTTGTTTTTTTTTCTTTCTTTCTTTAATAATCCTGAGTAATAGACTTCGTACAAACTTTTACCGTTTTGATGATCCAATTAATTAATACAAGTAGACTGTTTTTTTACTAAATATAATTAAGAAATAGGTACTTTTTTTTTAAAATAAACTTTAAAACTGTATCAGCTTAAGTTTTCTTTTTTATGATAATTCGTTTGTAAATCTAAATGAAATAGTTTTCCTCGCTTGTTTTTTTTAATAAAAGGACTACGTATATCACGTATTAAGCTAATTTAAGTAGCTCATTAAAAATAAATATATCTACTCCTCCTACATATTCAGTTACAGGAGTCATCATTAAAAAATAATTTTGTCAAATTGAAACTTTTCATTACATAGACACAAATTTTTTCCTCCAGCTTTAGCATGTCGCATAAAATATTTAATTGTTATAAAAACACGCCTTATTAATAAGCATTGGTGGTTCAGTGATAGAAAATTCGCTTGCTACGCGAAATTTGATTCCCAGACGAGAAAGTACTACCGCATACCGTAAAGATCAAGAGGATAATTGGATCATTTATTTATGAATCAGGTGTTTTACAAAAAACGGCAGATAGTTTATCAACATAGATCGTTATTTTTATTTATTTGTTTAATAATCACTTACATCTATCATTACAGGTATAACCTAATACAATGCAGCAGTTACAATACAACTTATACAAAACTAAAATATAAAAAAAAAAACACGAAAACAAAATCAGACATAAAATAAACATTTTTATGATAGTATGGATGGATCTCCCAATTTTCTCTAAACATAACATATAACTGAACATTTACTGAGAATAGATCGATTAATTTCGATTCGAATCGATTTTTTTGAAGGTGCCGTGCCAAATATCGCATTGATGAGGTATTTGGTAACTGACTTTATTGCTTAGGGTTTCCTAATTTTTTGAATCTGTGTGGAAAAAAAAAAACGGTCAAGTGCGAGTCGAACTCGCGCATCGAGGGTTCCGTACAAACTTAATTTAATACATCTACGCGTTCATGATAAAATAGGTAGTAACTTTAAAATTTTCAAAAATATTTTTTATACTAAAAATTTACGGTTTTCGCTATTTTTCCTTTATCTGTACTTATATTATATATTAATTCCAAAATATATAATATACAATATCAAATAAAACAAGTTTCAACGGGTTAGATGCACTGATTTTATTTATTTACTAGCTGACCCAGCGAACTTCGTACCGCCCTAAAAAAATAGGGGTTGTCCAGCGGACAAAATTGTGAATCTAAACCATTGTCAGATCCCCTTGAACACATACAAAAAATTTCATCAAAATCGGTCCAGTCGTTTAAGAGAAGTTCAGTGACATACACACTCACAGAAGAATTATATATATACTAGCTGACCCAGCGAACTTCGTACCGCCCTTAAAAAAATAGGGGTTGTCCAGGGGACAAAATTGTGAATCTAAACCATTCTCAGATCCCCTTGTACACACACAAAAAATTCATCAAAATCGGTCCAGTCGTTTAAGAGAAGTTCAGTGACATACACACTCACAGAAGAATTATATATATAAAGATAAAGATTGACGTTTCGCATCCTTTTTAGGAATGCGTCGTCAGAATCGTTATAAATTCCTGAGGAAGCTGCGAAACGTCAATAAATAAATAAAATCAGTGCATCTAACCCGTTGAAACTTATTTTATTTAATGAGTGATGTGCGTGAAAATCTAAGAAACAAATATACAATATCAAGCTCATTGTTGGCGAGTTATATATTCGAACTCCTCTACAACCGTTTCCCGGTTTGCTCTTTCTTATGATTGTCTGCCGTTTTATTGACTCTGCACGTTCTTTCCGGTTGACTGGTAGAGAATGCTATGATGGCATAAAGTCCGCCATATGCAATGTTAAGGTATTAAAGATTATATAAATAAATATAAATAAACCGTCGTGTCGCAAGTATCCAGCAGCTTTCCGCTTCCCTTTTGGAAGCTATACAAGGCTTTGACCTTATAGGTATCTTTTAAAACAAATTAGTTAAAGCGCTTGTTTCTACAATTAAATCTGTGAAAGTGCATAAAACATCAAGCCGAAAGTGACTAAACATTTTCATATCGTAATTAAAAATCACGTTTCAAAATTCCCCAACCCTATTTTTTTTTTGTCCGTGTACCGGAACTATGTGTATTGATTTGATTTGTTATTTTTAATTATGTTTTGAACAATTTTACTCACTTCCAGCTTGTTGTAAATTTATGAAATTTGAATGGCTAGATTGACCGGGATAATTAGATTAAAAATCACAATTATATTAACAAATAGTTGCTAATAGTGGCACCAATTACCGACAAGAACCAATAATCGTCATTTTTTATGTGATCAATGAAAATAAGAGATGGGTAACTCATCACTAAATATAGTAACAAGAAGGTATACACGCTCGGTGTTAACACATTAAGTGATCGGTTACGTACCCTTATTTATTTTTTTATTTTTTAAGCATTAAACTGTTAGATGTTTCAACTGTTTGATCTACTATCAAATAAATTGACTACTGAAGTCAAACAAGACGTAAAAGGCGTTACTTAACTCCTGTTATTATAAACGAAGTTCCACCTAATATTCAGCAGTATTTCAAACAAAAACCAATTAAAACTTCTCTCAAGAAATATTACCTAACTCTGTTCCAAAAATACATAGCTATAGAAATATAATATCTGGGTACTATATGTACGTAAATATAACAAACTGGCAACAAATATTCATGACATATGCATGCCGATTTATCAATCAGGAGCTTCACTCTTTTTCTCCGAAATGAAATTTCGGTAACGTACGAATTTTAAACGAAATTTTGCCAGTGACTCTACTCTATTTCATTTCCGAACACGCACATAAAGTTCGTAATCACAATCAATTTTCGTGAACGAATAGCATCAGTCATGTTTGTGAGTTCTTTTGATCTCCATTTTTTAGATTACGTTTTTTACTTAGAAACAATATTACTTTACGACAAAATTTTTGATGACATTTAAGAAACCTTTTTGACGGTGTTAGCCGACGTCAAAGTAAATGTGTCGTTAAATACTTTGAAGTGTTGTACACAAAAAATTGATTTAGTCGTTAATTATACATGCAAAATATGTTTCTCACGCTAAGCAGCCTTGATTAAAAATACCGTAGCAGTCATTTTAGATTTAATTAAAACAAATATCCCGAAAAGAAAATAAAAAAGGTAACATTTTTTATTTCGTCAATTTGAGATTAAAACTTCGAACTATTATCTGTCAAATTCAACTTTTCGTTTCGAAAGGTTTGTCAATTAGAGTAAGGATCATGCAAATTGTCAATCGAAATTTTGTTTTTTGTTGAAATAGAGAAGGTTTTCAGATCTGTTTAGTCATTTTTGAATGATTGATTAAAATATATTTAAAAAGAACACCAAAGTTTTGTTTTTATATTTAAGTTATTAAGGTATTTATAAATATAGTGAGATGAGTACAAGAATACATACGAGTCCACGAGAGTTACTACCGACAAACTGTTGCACAGTTTGGCAGAATGTAAATAAGTGTTTTATTTAATATTTATGAAAATTGATATGAATAAAATGAGGAGGCTGGTGAACAAAACGGAAAAATTACGCATCTAGTCAAACTACTTTTTTTACAGTCCGGAGGTTACGGGCCCGTTAAATAGGGTATTTGACAGTATTAAAAATAAAGTGCCAATTGTAAACATCTGTATTTAGAATGAATATTGGAAGGAAGTTTTTACTATTTTTACGGAAAAAATATTCAAAATTTACTAAAAACCCACGATAAAGATAATAGTTTTCTTGTCTTTTGTCGCGTGACCCAAAACGCTTAGGATTGGTGGAGCCTAAAATGACGTCACACGCAAGTAAACTTCCGGATGAAGACATTAAATTGTATCGTTTGAAGTTTTAATGACAGTCGTGTGACGTCACACACAAGTGAGGCGCCATATTGTCCAGAGATACGTTCTTCGCGGCAACTTGAAAATAGAGTTTTTGATTTAGTTTTTTTATTGAAATACACAACATAATGATGAATATCCATGGATGGACCAATATGGACTCTCTAAATATTAGTAAATAACCTGACATCGTTTTCTAAAACTTGTCAAATACCCTAAAGCCACTTAAAATAGTTGGTAAAATTACTAAATTTCTAAATTAAAAACCATGCCAAAAGCTCACTGCGGGTATGTCATTTAGTTTTGTACAGCTCCTTTAAAATTTAATTTTCTGTTATTATACTGTTTTGTTCGTCAGCTTAGTCTTAAATTATAACTAACCTATTTAACGCCTCACTGCTGGGGTACACGCCTTACCTATGGAAAGGGTTAATGTAATCAAAACATTAACACCTATATAGGGTAGTACTTATAGGTAGAATTTGCTTCCGTATCGAATAAGGAAATTCTACGAACCATTTCAACTTAGCGTAAGTTATATATCTGACTACCAAATTACTCAACTTTTATAAAACTCAATGGCGTAGGTGGTTAGCGCGTTCGGCTGCGATCGTTGAAGTTAAGCAACTTTCGCAGTTAACAAGGTTTTGCTGGGGCACAGAGCTTCCCTATGGATGGAATGGGGACATTGGGCCATGACACACCACGCGGGCCCAGTGCGTATTGGTGGGTGCTAGCGACTGCAGATGCAGCCGGGACCAACGGCTTAACGTGCCCTCCGAAGCGCAGAGGAGCTCGTGACAGTAAATTTCCGGTCACCCATCCAATGACCGACCACTGCGAAAGTTGCTTAACTTCAACGATCGCTGCCGAACGCGCTAACCACTTGCGCTATCGAGCTCCTCCTCGAAATAAAGAAATAACTTATAGTAATTTTTGTTATTGACAGGATTGCTACCATATTTTACGGGAGTGCGGCACTGTTGCAAGCACCACGAACACTAAATCATGGCACTTGCAAC